ATCCATTTGGATATGTGTATTAAATAATTCCAAATGTTTTCGATACATTGCGTGAAAAAAGAAAAGGCAATTTTCCACTAAAAGAACAAACGAAAGGAAGCAGGTAGACTAAACCGATTACCCCCCTTCCAGGCAACGTATCCGGCGGCCAGGCTACCCTCTACGGCCTTGACGGGTGCGTGTGGGAGGCGGGACTCACCCTGGGGCGCAACATGCTTTTCTTCACCGCCTCCCCCGGGACCTCCCCGCTCGCAGCCATCGCCACTCAGCTGGCCGGCCTCCAGGCCTGCCTCACATCCCTCTCCTCGTCCGTGCCCAGCGCCAAGGAGGGCTGGCACGTGGCGAGGACGCAGGCCGCCGTCGACTTCCAGAGCGCCATTCCGAACGCCAGACTCGTAGCGCAGGTGTCTTTCTGAGCCCTGCGAATGGACCAGGGCGGGGAGCTCGCTTGAAGGATCTAATGCATCATTCCTGTTGCAAATCCTAAGCACCGCCGCCATTGCTTCTAGTCGAGGGCGAAGCTGAGTGGCGTGGGACCGATCTTGTGCTTTGTTACTGGTTTAAATATTTGTTGTTATCGCTGTTACCATTCGCATGCTGTTCCCTCATCCATTTTCTACCCGTTCTGTGTGATGACGCGTTTACATGATATTTATATATAATACATATATGATTCTATATGTGTGTATGTATATATACATATTATATAATATTGTATAAACGAATGAATTCCGTTTCCCTGCATTGTCTGAAAAATATTAATGAATCTTCTATTAGACTTGCATATGTTGTAAATTGACCGAGAGAGGGGGCCTTTATATAAAATAAATCTTGTTTTTTTTTTCAAAAGTCTCTTTATATCCAAATATTTAGTTAGGTATTGTGATTTAAAGAGCCGATAATTTGAGTATTTATTATTAAATATGATATAGTACATTAAAAGATGTAAAATCATATCAACATCGAACATTGAAAATCAAGATAAATTCTAATATTTTACTCTTGTATATACAAGTATGTGGCTACGTGTTCGTATGTCTGTGTGTGTATATACGTGTGCATGTGCGTCTGCGTCTGCGTGTGTGTTTGCATGTACGTTCGCCGGAATGACGAGAATACTAGTTCCACTTTTTCATAACAGACCAGGACGGATAAACATGTTAGTGTTCTGAAAGCCTTACTTCAGTTTATTCGATTTTCGTTAGAATGATTAAGAATAGACTTTCCGGGGAACTCCTTTTGCAGTAGAGCGAAAAACCTAGGCTTTTCAGATGGGTGTCAAGTCCGCATGGTTGGTTTGCATCTCGTGAATGGGATCTTATCTTATAGTAAATTTTAGAAACCTGCCCGCATCGAAATTCTATCCTAAAATGCTACTAATACAATGAAGAAACTTCGTCTTGAATGAATAATAGCAATCTAGGATTTGCTGATCTATATGTTATAAAATCAATATCTTCTCGAATCATCCCCTAAAGCGCCACCTAATACTAAGATAAAAATGTTACATGACAACCTTTCTGGTTCGGAACCTTAATACTTGGCAATCTTGAAATAAGACTAATGATATAGGAACTTAAACTCCTGATAAAACAACAAAGCATTTAGTCTAACTTAAATGTCATCCACACTGTTTTACAACCTTTCTTCTGCTGTTAATGGGGGAGAGGAGTCGACTGGCATTAAGTAACTATTACTGTACCCAAATATTACCATAGAAAATTAGGTTGGACGGTTCCAGAGCTTCATGTAAAATAAGCCACGTACTTAAAAGCCTGTTCACACGGGCATGATTAGCGGGCACAGGGGCAGGGGCATGGGAGGGCACGAGCAGAGATGACGTCGAGGTGGATTTACTAGACGGTAAAGCAATACCGCCTCATGTGGACACGGATCTAGGGCACTAAAGCAAGGGGGTATCCGCAGCACTGAATGACTTGCCCGTTGGAATGTAACGTTCTCCGGGGATCCGCGCGCCCTTATCGGGTCCCGGTCTGGCATAGTGTTGCCAAATTTGCCAGGTAGATTCTTTCTTATCGCGTGTGTAGCCCTGTCTGTTGGTCCGGCACTCGTGGAATAATCAGGCAATCCTTATCGCATGTTTGACGGTCTTCGTGGACTTGGGGACGTCACTCTGTATTCCGAGGCACCGCTATCTCTCCCGAATGCACCAAGCTCCGGGTACACAACCGAAGAATTAATAAAGAATATTAAGTCCCCAACAAAGGAGAGGCGCAGAGCCGAGAAAGGCGGGAAAGGCACTAGGCAGCCTCGTCCTGCAGGTCCATGGCGGGGTTGTCGAGGCCGCCGTTGGAAGCCGGTCGGCCGTCGGTTTTGGCGGGGAGGTCGCTCCCTTCGTGGGCCTTGGCAGCGCTCGTAACCTCCTTCGAAAGTAAGAGAAAACATACTAAACTTCCCGTCCATAATGCGAATAATTGTGAGTTCACAGGATTGATTTGCTTATATTTTTATCTAATTGCACCGCGACATGCAATCTTCA